TAAAGGGGTATTATATCAATTTTTGATACATCCCGAAGGTAAAAAAGGTTGATGTTATTTACAATAATGAGTTAGTGTAACTTCTGACTAGATTAGTCTTGGAACTTGGTGTCAAGTTAGCAGTTAATCAATCGAAAACCAATGTGTAGTGTTTAAAAGCAGTTATTTTATCAAAGGTGTGTCAAAATCTGAGTCTGTAAACTGCAAATTTCTACAAAATTATCGTTCCATTTTTATACAACAAATGCCAGGTTTTCGTTTTTTTCTTTTACATATTCTAAAATAATGCACTTTTATAAAGTTTCATATTTTTATGATATGACAATTCAAATACCAAATGACTGTTAAAATTTGACACATGTTAGCTTATAATTCTATTATTCACACCTTCTTTGTTTAATACCTTTCACAGCTATCAACAAGATAAAATTGCAAGGCGTACACCTGACTTGATGGGCAGATATTTAATTTCTGTTTGCTTAAGTTATGCTAAAACTTTTAAATACTTTTCTTTAATCTGTTTGATAAGTATTTCCTTGTGATATAACATTGTAAACAAAAAGCAATGTTGTAAAAAATGATGTCTTAACATCTTTAGAAGACAGCGATGACAGACCTCTACAATATTTTATTTCATCGGATTTCCAGGGTCGTGAAAACTAATGACAAACAGAAATAATAAAATATGTTAAGTGTAATAGCTTTAAAAAGACAAAGCAATGTTTAAATACTAATAACAACTATTTTTCTGATTACAATACCTTAATATGCAGCTATCTATTAAGTTCTCTTAGTAAAAAACAAGCTTTTTTGAAATTTTTAACACGTATGGCGGCCATTTCGGATTTTACCCGCCATATTGGATTTTCAAAGATGGGTCCCATGCTCAATTTTTCTTATATATATGAAAGATCATTTGTACCAAGTTTGGTGCTTTTCCCATTTTCTGAAGTATTTTTTCACAAATTGACTGGACTAAAATGACTTCTCTTGATTTTGGAGTCTCAAGGTCAAAGGTCAAGGTCACAGAGACCTTAAATGTCAGATGGTTTCCCCTGATTATCTTGAAAAGGATTCATCACAAAGTCATCATTTTACAAATATTGATTGGTCTGAACTATCAGATGACCCCAATAAAAATTGGGGTCACTAGTTCAAAGGTCAAGGTCACAAAGACCTTAAATGTCAGAATGAAATCCACTTATTATCTTAAAAAGTATTTTTCACAGTCTTCATATTTCACGTAATGATTGGTCATAACTAGTAAGTGACTCCTATTGATTTATAAGTCACTAGATCAAAGGTCAAGGTCACAGGGGCCCCTAATGTCAGAATTGTTTCTGCTGATTATCTTGAAAAATATTTATCACATAATCTTCATATTTCTAATATTGATTTGTTATAACTATTAGATGACCCCTATTGACTTTGGGTCACTAGTTCACAGGTCAAGGTCACATGGGCTTTAATGTCAGAATGGTTTCCGCTCATTATCTTGAAAACTATTTATAGTTTTCCTTATTTTTCTTTTTTCCGTTATTGAACACTTTCATGCACCTATTTATGGCGAGTTTTTAAATCAAAATTACCAATAATATGAGTCAAGGGCTAGAAAGGGGGAAATATGTGTCGTTCTTGTTAAATATTAACTTTGCATAAAAGTTGATATAATTTATCACCGTTTTCTAATGCAGTTAACTCTTAAATAACCAGACCTGTATTTCTTTTGTATGGACAAACTGTTATTAGGGTTAACTGTTATTGTGACAAACTAAATTTTATGTATCTATTTTTATTTTTGGTTTAAAACAAAACTCTTTAAAATAAAGTTCTACTTTCTGTTTCATCTGTTATAAAGAGATGATTAATCAAGTCCTTGAAATATTGAAAGCTTTTTGCATTCCAATGTACAGAATTTTTAAAAAGGGTTTGATTGATCTGTTCTAATGAATTTATTTTTTTTCAGTGTTTTTATTATAAATAATATCACACTAAAAGGCAATAAGAGTAGGTAGGGAGGCCTTTAACTTAAACATTATACTTTTACTTATTTTTGATTTTGCTATGAGTTTCAATTATGTGTATAAAATTAACTTGTACTGACTCTTCAATGATATGTCATGAAAATAATAAAGAAAACGCATTTCTAATTACCTGACTAGAGGGATGAATTTTTTTATATCTATTTTTCCTTCCTGTTTTGGTTATGAATGAAGATACAAAGCAAAAATTACTCACTTCCTCTTCCTGTTATATTAAAAGTTAATTGAATTATTTCGCTTCACAGTAGTGAACAATAGTATACAGCTTTTAATATGATAAAAAAGCATTTTATAAGACAACATTACATATAGTCCTATATATTAAACTTGTCAATAATTTATTAAGACATAACATAATAGATCCCTATCGCAAAATGTAGAATGAGCTAATCTGTAATCACTTTGTCATATTTGTAAGTCAGTCAGTCCGACTGGCTCCCCAGTGTCCGCGTTTGTAATTCCTACACCCCTAAAATATATAGACCAAAATAAACTCCATTAATGAAGATAGTGGATTTAAATGTCTTTTCTGTGACAGCTCTAGTAATACTTTTATTTCCTTGTAGTCTGACATATTTTAATTAAGTAAGATTACGTAAGACTCGTTTTCATTTTACTCTTAAAGTAGAATATTTTGTAAAAGTTTGTTGCTATTTTAAAAAATGTATCAATAACTTTGATGTATCTCTTCCCTCTTTTTTCATTTGATATTGATATCGTTTAATATCAAAGCCACGTGTTTTATTATAAATTGTTATTCCTTTTTTTAAATACATTGCTAAAATGTCTATTATCATGATGTTTCATTTCAATCTTTTATCATAATTCTGGCTGCTATGATAACATAAAAAGTTAAATGAGACACAGGATGATCCCAGAATAATTAGATATACAAGAAGATTGATGAACTATTTTCTGCAGACTAAGTTGATTATTGGTGCCATGTTTTAAAGTATAAAATTAATTATTGGTTTATTGAGCGTCCATTTTCGATTGGTTAAGGTCGTTGATTTCCAACCACTTGCCCCTTACCTCTCTAGACTCGAATTCCACCAGGGTCTTTTGATGCTTCATGTCAGGAAACTATACAGCTTGCTTACAGAACTTTGGCGGTGCTAATCAGGTTTCCACTTGCGGCTGAAATAATGCACGGGGGACACCTAATGTAAATAGTTACCCTGACCATAAGACGAGAGTCCTTCCATTTAGAATCTCTAAATTTCACAAGTGCATGCATTTTGTTGCGCTCTTTTAGTCACTATCCCCTTACAGGTCACAGGGTAAAATGGTATAAGTGGGTATGGTATTTATTAGGATGTAGCCCGCTGACCGTTTGTAAATGATGCAAACCACCAGTGTCAGACCCGTCAGTGATTGGCTTTAACGGCTTTAAGGCGGATATTTCGTCGTGCCTACTGTACCTGTAGGCGGGGCTAATTGCTCTGTAATTCGAAATTCTTGCGGAGGCAAACAGTTAAGTTTCTATGCAGCCATCGGAAATTTATGGAAAATTGTCAAGTGTCAGAAATGACATGCGGGCTGATTTGATGACAGTTCAAACGAGTGCATTGCAGAATTTTCACGGGTCAAGATCCGAGGTCTCGGTTCAAATGAGACAAATGAAATTTTCAAATAAAATTCCAGCAAGCGGTTTATTAAAAATTGAGGGATTTCAATATCAACACACAAAAATGAGTTACCAACAAACATCTGGTCCTTTTTCAAACCAACTTATGCATAAAAAATATTTAATTTTTATTTGCATAATACAGTTTAGAAAGTGTATGATATTAATTGATAAATACATACCAGTATTTAGTTCAGTTCAGTTCGGTTTTAGCAATCAGAAACAAGTTTACTTTTGACTATTTACAATAATATTATCTTATTGCAAAGACAGTAAGTACAATGTAAACATATACCGTAAAATTCTTATTAAACAACCCCGGTGGCTAAACATTTTCCAAACGGGGGTGCGTTTATTTAAAAATTATTTTCCCTAAATCCAAAATTTGAATAAAATTATGGATTTTCTCTTGAATTCAGCACTGAAATAAAGGGGGCCTGTATTAAGGGTGGGCGTTTAATAGGAATTTTTCGGTATCAAAAACATTAGTGTAACAAAGAAAATCATAAAATCGATCAAGAACTAAATAATTTACAAAACAAACTCTTGATGTAACATGAAACAGTTTAATTAGTATTTCGTTACAGATACAGTATTTTGTATTGATTTCTGTATATATTTGTATTGAGATATTCGGTCTTTATTACATTGATTTGAATTGAATATAGATAATAGTGTTATGGTGTATTAAACCATATTTCGACTTACTTTGAATTTATACTTTCTATTTTCATTTTTAAACAAAACTCTTTAAAACAAAATTCTACTTTCTGTTAAATCTGTGATTAAGAGCTGATTTACCATGTCCTTTGAAATATTTAAAGCTTTTTGCATTCCAATGTTACTATAAATTTGAATTATGTGTATTTTATAAAATTAATTTGTACTGACTCTTCAATGCTTTGCCATGAAAATAATCAAGAAAATCTTATTACCTGACAAGATGGATGTTAATTTCGCTTTATATTTTTACTTCCTGTTTTGATTGTGAAATGGAGATAGAAAGGGAAATGGCTCACTTCCTCTTCCTGTTATAATAAAAGTTAATTGAATTATTTCCCTTTTCAGTAGTGTACAATAGTATACAGCTTTTAATATTATAAAAACAAAAACATTTTATAAGACATTATTACACATAGTTCTATATATTAAACTTGGCAAACATTTATTAAGACATAACATAAGCATATTCCCACCATAAAATGTAAAATCTGTAATCACTTTGTCATATTTGTAAGTCAGACAGTCCAACTGTCTCCCCGTGTTCGCGTTTTTAATTCCTACACACCTTAAAACATATGGACCTATATAAACTCTTTTTCATCTCTAGAATGTTGAATATTGAGAACACAGATGATGCTGATACTGTTACAGTTGCTGTGAGTACTCTCCTTTCGTTACTTTGATTTCTAGAGTTTAAAATATTATGTCTCTTTGTCATTGTGCCTTATGTTTCAAATAATATTCATACTTTCGAATTTTAGTCAGCAAGTTCATTAGAAGATGATGCACAGTATGATGATCTTGCGCACACGCTAGAACAGTTTACACCCCATGACCTTACAACTTGGAGAGTCACAATACCAAGATTAGGGGCGAGACCTGACCCTGAAAATCCTAAAAAACAATTCTTTGTTTTTGTGGTGGAAATAAGACGTCTTGGTGTTACAGATGGTAAGATTGATTAATAGCCATGTTATGATATACTTAGTTACAAAATCTAGGATATTTCAATGCTTTTATGGCATAATCGTAATCATAATCAATCTAGGGCTAAAACTACAGATGGTACCTAAGAAACTGTTGGACAGTTAGACTAAAATTATTCTCAAAAAGAAATATAAAAAGCATTTAACAATATAAACAACAATAAAACAACATTATCTTATCTTTATTTTCTCAGGCCATTATGTATCATTCTAGTGAAAAAAGTCAATTTGTCTAGGAATAATCCTTGTGTTTACTTTCAATTATTTTGCTTCCTGTTTATTTTTAAGATGGATATTCTGTACGGAATGTCGGTAGAAAGTATACAGAATTTTATACCCTGGATCAAAAACTAAATGAATTCCATGGCGTTGAGCTTGAAGATTGTGTTTTACCGCCAAAGGAATTCATCGGTACTAAGACACAAGAGTTTATCAAAGGAAAAAAGAATTTTTTGAAAACTATCTACAAGTAAGTACTGTATAATAATAAATATAAATATAATTCAAATTTTATAAAACAGAAATCACTTTCCCTTATCACATCTTGTTGCTTTGTTTATTGAAATATAAAGATGATGAAAAATGAAAAGATAAGGTTTCAGTTGAACCCGAAATTGTCTGTATAATGGTAATAGCATAATGAACGTGATATGTTGATAATGGATAATTAAGCATCTTGATAAACAAAGGCATGATTTGATTTGTAAGTTTTACATTTTCAGAAATTGTTGACGAAACCTGTTTTGAAAGGCAGTTAACTTTTGTACATTTTTTCACTGCCGAGACAGCATTTGATTTTGGCATAGACATCAAAATAGGTAAGTTGTGTAAGTCTGTTTGATAAGTTAGTTGTGTAAACATGTGTGCATATACATATTACTGTTTCAAATATGATTTGTTTTTATTTTACATGTTTTGTTCGATTAGGAAGGATAAGTTCAAATATGTTAGTTATCAAATATGTGTAAATTGGGGTCAGATATCTGTTGGTAAGTCAATATTTTGTGTTTTGATATTAAAATCCTCCAACCTTTAATTAACTGCTTCAAAGCTGGAGAAATCATTAACATAATTTCAGCGGGCTAAGTGTTGAAATCTTAATGCTAATTATTCTACCACTGTCAAGATACCTCCTATAGGCGGTCAGTGAAATCATTTATTTCACTTCGGGTCCTGAAATTGGGAACCCCACTTAATCAAAATGTTATACATACAATGTACATACATCTTGCATACATTAATATCAGATACAATCAATATGGATAACATTCTTTTACACAAAGGATAGAAAGATCAGCTGGAACTGATAGTCTACGCTGACTCTTTCGTTATCCTGGACTCAAACAGAGCACGAGCTGGGGCCTAGAAACTCAAATCACGGTCTTCCGCGGTAACATGTGCTCAAGACTGTATTATGTGGACTTTGGATCCTCGACCCTCAGGGTCAGTGAAATATTAGGTCTTGTATAAATATTTATCTTTGCAGGTCGTGCAATAAAATCTGGTGCAAGAAAACTTGCTAAAGAGGTAAGTTTGAAACTATTATGTGCAAATGATTGGTAAGGACTTTGTAAAATAATATGAATTTGGATTTATGGCTTTATCAGCATAAGATAAATTAGGGTAAAATTTATTTCATTTCAGCTATTGAAAAAAGGACGTCCGTGGCTTTATGGCTTCTAACCACTTGCCCTTCATTGCTGTGGGTTCGAATCGGAACTTTAATTTTTTAATGTGAAGAAGTTATGCAGCTAGCGTATAGAACGTCGGGGTAACAGTTACCTCAGTAATCAAAAATTATGCACAGAATGGCACAATAGGACTCCAACAATAAAGCTTGAAAAACGTATGCCACAGTTTTCATGTAAACAGACGTTTTCATGTTAAAATATAGACAGAGTTAAAACCCTTTATAGATTTCACATGATCTAAGAATACGATCACTGAAAGATTTTTAGCCGAAACAGGGATTTGGTGGAATATAGGCTTTGACGGTCTTGTTTTTTTATAATTCATCCTTGAATCTGTTTTTATTTGTTTTTTTAATAAGGGAAATAACAGCTATCAAAACTTTAGCACAGATGCATTAAACCCCTTTTCTTTATTTCTACCCTCTGCATTTGTAGAATATACAAAAGTTTCTTTGGTGTAATTTATATTTTATATATTATATATCTGATATCAAAGGGACCCTTGTATGATATTTGTTGTCTTTGTGCTGACACTATTCGTTGGAAGAATCTAATTGCAATGAATTTTATTTCGTGATGTTTTAGCTTGACAATTAATTACATATTTTGTATAGAAAGGACAGCACCTTGAGAAATTTCTGTATGGATTTGAGAGAAGTACAGAGCCTCCAAAACCTCGACCTGGGTAATTACTTTCGTCATTTCATTTTATTGTTTTCAATACAGATTTGTGTTTATTCAATTAAATCCTTTATGCTGTTTTCAATTCAAATTTTTTTCATCCCATATTATGTTATCTAACAAATCTTGATCCTTTTGGATACTTAATTTTGTGATTTTTGGTATCAAACATACTTTTATTTACAATCTTATGTGCGGTTTAAGTTTAAAAGCTGGAGTTAAGTTTTTTAGAATTTAGCATGATAGTCATCAGCCACATCTGAAAATCAACCACAAAAATTCAGCAAGTTCATAATAAGTATTTGTTTTGTCTTGTTTACATTTAGGAAACTAGAAAGGAGAGATTCCGGAGCATCATTATTGTCAAATTCGAGTCTTAAGGTGAAATTTTCTTTACTTATATTTTCTGTCGTGTCCAATGTATCCGCAAGTATGTTCACCAGTCTTGTCACATTATTCAAAAGCTTAATTATAAACTGAACTGTCATTGTGAACTACCTCTGGTCTCGATTTATTTCTGATGTGAAACAGGAAATAAAAAATGTGTTTTTGATTATTTTATGCGAGGAAGCTTGTCAGCTAAGAAGCTTTCCAGCTAACTTTCGGAAAGTTGAGTGTCCGATTTTTGCTGAACTTGTACAAATCTTGGTCTTTAGCTTAGACCTCTAAAGATAGAAAGTTACTGAATAACTTTTTCAGTTAGATTATGTTTTTTTTTCAGTTATGCCAGACAATGTTTGAGAACAACGCTAATGGTATATAGATAGGCGTGACCATGTGGACGGTGACTTGTTGTTAGAAAAATCAGAGGTGGAAGGAATTTATGATTCCTTGATTTATATAGGTACATGTTTTAAGAGTTTTACTTGAATTTTTAAACCATATTTTGCTTTTGTTAAATTAAAGTTTGAATTTTGAAAATCAAATGTATATTATCATTTAAATCCCTTCAGTGTTAAGCTGTTTCTATCAAGGTGCATGTAGGTAAAGTGGGGTCTTCCTTCACAGGTAAACGTAAAAATTAACTAAGCATCAAAAATTGTAAACTAATTGTGACATTTTCCAACCAACTGAACTAACATTTTGTCTTTAAGAGAGTTTACTTACATTTCAGCAAGGTATGCTTATAGAGTTCCGGACTGGTGTCATCATTTGTTGTACACTGCACGTATGTTTGTGAAACAAACTTTAGAAGCATATTTAGACTGGTACACAGACTATAAAGTTCACATGGTCACACGGGAACACAGGCTGGTCTCCCTAATTCAACTACTTAGAGGTAATCAGTTTACTATCTATTGTTTTGCAACTCAAAACACGATAATAATGTTAGAGAGGCAGTATTGACAAAGTGTTGATGTTCATTACTTTGTTTCGTTTGCCCCACAATCCAGTCGGAGATTTTTATTACTTGCATGTCAGAAAGCTACCTGGAATTTTATTGAAACTCTATCATTCATTCTTTTTATATGCCTGCATGTTGCACAAATGACAAGCTATGGTTTACCTCCATCAATGAATCTGGAAAGTTACCAATTAACCCTTTAATGTCAAAATGGCAAAATAAGTCACCCTCTCCAAATTTCTTTTAATCAATCGGCGATTCTGAATCTTACTCCTTTATGATTCGAGAAACCTATTTTTGTATAAAATATTGTATGAAAATTTTGTGAATACACGAAGAACTTTTACAAATACAATATCCCCTATTTTATCACTTTCGTCATATGAAATAACCAACAAGAACCAATATTCTGATTTGCTCTTTTGCTTATTATTTTCAGATGTGCTTTTCTTCGACAATGACCCACCGAGGTAAAGAGACTTGTTGATATTACTTTATAAATAGAAGATTATCGGGTTTTAAATGAGTTATCTTGTGCATAAATACTGTGTTTGGTGATTTTCTTTCCCAATTAAGTGAAGGCAACACCAGACCATGCTATAATGAAAAATAACTTTATTTTGAAGGAGCGTTACTGCTAGCACCGATCTTTTTTGTTTGGACTTATTATTAGGAGCTTTATTTTCAACATGTTACGTAAATTATAGATTCTGATTACTGACCTAACTAGTACCGTATGAAACACCCAAAACAACACATCAAATGGTAATGTTATTGAGCTGCACTACATTGCCATTTTTATCCTATTAAAATTAACTTAATCAGTTCACTTTTTTTTCAACAAATAAATTTGTTAACCAGATTTTTTAAGTATGGCACCTAGAGTTTGGGTGAAAATTAAACAAAAAATAAGCAAGAAGTTACACACCAAAACGCAAACACACCATCAAAGTCACTAACTAGAAAAAAAGTAAATTTCTAAGCTAAAAATGAAAATGATATTTTTGATAATGGAATAATAGAATATACAATATTTGTATATTTAGGACAGACGATGATAAAAAGAAAACGTTTCCAAGAAGTGACGACTGGCTGTCTGAACTTCCTACTAAGTATGTAACAATGGTACAAGTACTTAAGTTTTAAATAACTCTTCTTATGTTAAATGATATTTGAATTGACGGTGAGAGACAAACGACCAATAGACACAAATGTCAAAGTTCAATGATTACGGAGAAACTTTCGCATTGCCTTGCCTTCCCCCAGGGTTGAGATAGCGTTCTCTATATTACCCAAGACAACTTAATTACAAACTTCAAAATAGAATTGTCTTATTGATTTTATGTAAAATGAGTTATTATAACAGGTGAAGAAAAATTTTCGAAATTTCATAGCATGGTGAACGTATCATAGTCATGCAATCTTATTATTGTTGTAACATGGTCATTGTAAGTGTGCAATTGTTCATGTTTTTATCTTTCTTATTTCAAGAAAAGGATTTCGTACTCACCCTTGCATTGGTGTTTGTGTTTAGGTAGTTTTGGAAGTAATCTGTTCGTAATTTTTGGTGCTCTTGTTGCAAACTTTCATATTTATATTTTTCATTACAGAACCAGCGGTATAGGTGATAGGTGAGACTCCACATAGAGAGGGAACTTTAATGATTCTACATGCTTTACAACAACCTAAACTTAACAAACAGGTATATACAGGGCAAACACTTACCTGTACAATATTTGATATTCGTAACTGTGTAATTACATTTAAAGTTGTTATCTGCATTTGGGATTAAAAAGCTTACGAATTTGATTAATATCAATTAAGATTTGTTTATTGATTGTCTGTAATTCATTTAACTAATACATGTGCATATAATATCATATATTTAACTGGACATGTATTAGCTTAAACTTAAGTTTAGTTTATTCTGCAACTTTCTAAAATCATGACCAATGAAGAATACATGAGTGTATTATTACATTTTATTATTTCAGCTCAGTTACGTGTTCCTAGATATATTCATCACAGAATTGTTTCCAGAGTTAAAGCAGTGATCAACTTGAGTGAATACTTGAAATCATCAGCAAGAAAATTTTATATATAGAACAATAATGTTTCGCTTAACTCAATATTTATATTGTTCTGTTTGTGAGATCTAATTTTAAGGTTACATTCAAAATTTGAAAGTGGGAACGGACAATGATTCATAATGTACATATCATTCCTATTTGCCCGTATGTGCTTAAATCCAGTCTGCTGAAACCTAAAATGATAAACATTTGCCACCAGTATAAGGCTAGACCAACCTTTTCATTCTTGAAGACTAACTAGCATATATACTAATGACAGACTAACTTTTAATATTCACTTTTGTATCTCAAAATTGAGAATGGACAGTTTTCAAAGTTTAATGTAAGAAATTTAGCAGGTTAAAGGTTAACTAGCCTCCGAGTCTGAGTGGTGAATGGCTACCTAACATCGATCCTCTACTCATTGAGGGCAATTTCCTTGCTAAAACTGTTTAAATCAGCATTATATCAGAGGTTTATCACAATTTTGTTATAACTTGTATACGTTATGTCAAATATGTAATATTGTCATTTATATGTATTGGATGTTTGTCTGTTTGGGTAGATTATAGATCCACTGTTATAATCAACTGAGTTGTTTGAAGGTATGTGCAAGAATAGAAAGAAGTGTCTATTTTGTTCCGTAATCAAATACGAGTAAATACCATGTAAAAATGTTTAGATGTAGTAATTATGACGTGCAATATAACTTTACATGCTGTGATAAATTATGTATTGAAATGAAAAATATTGTAATTTGATAGACAGTAAGACTTGAATTCCTATCATAGACACAATTAGAGAAAAATTACAATAGTGGAGGTATTGTCACTGAAGTGCTTTTTATCGCGCTTAACCACAGTGGTTTTGAAAACTGATATAGTTTGACAAGGACATAAAATTGAAAGTTTGTAAAAGGTCATAGGTTTTGAATAAGCGTAACGAATACCTAAAAGCAAAATTGCTTTATCCAAAAGTAAACTTCAAAAGAATTTTGATCTTTAAGTCGTTTGATAATTTTCCTCTTATATAAGGATTAATTGCACTATTCACTCTATAGACAAAATATTTTCAGTCTTTGTTCGAGTATAATGTATTCATAAAGTTTTCATTTTTAATGGTTACATATGAAACAAACATTTAACAAATTTAATGATAATTTTAATCAAGGAATTATTTGTGTTAAACATTTACAATCGCTTTAAAAAAAATATTATTCTAAAACTTTAAAAATATCTCTAAACAAATTATTTTTCACAAAATTATTCGTTGCCGTAACTGTTCATTTTTAGCTTGACTAGGGAGGAATATTGTAGTCGCCCCGGCGTCGGCGACGCACTAAGTTAAAGATTTTGCGTGCAAGTTTCTAACTCCAAAATACACAATAACTTCAGACACTTACTTGAGAGCTAAATATGATGTTATTTTATCTATACAAGACCCATAACCAAAGCATATACTTTGACAGAAATATTGCCCTTTTTTAAATTGAACGTTATCCAGTCACTGGGAATGGTCGGGCACTCGGGCATCAGATAACTATTATTACTGTGAAATATCTTGACATTTTATAAGCTAAAACTTCTAGCTATTATGATTGCTGCGGAGTCATTGTCATTTTTGTCATTGTCTTTATCGCGGTGTCTTATGTTGCCCATTATTCAAACATCTCAACATGAAACTTGGAATACTTGCTCATCATGACATGTGCAGTCGTTAGACAAGGAAAAAAGTCTGAATATATTTGGATTTATGTCCTTTTTTTGCAAAATTCTTGAGGTGAAATATTTTTATGAATTATGTCCATTTTTAACTTATACATGAATACAACTGGATTTTGAAAATTATTGCGCAAACACCACATGGGATACTCTTGTTACAAGAATGCGATTGATATTTATAAAAAAAAAGTGAATGGATTTTTGTATTAAGTTTAATGTTCAATGTGTTATTTATGAAATAAAACTCAAACAAATGTGCAATATTAATGTGTTTGTTGTTATTAATTTGAAATCAGACTGTAACCAATGTTTCCAAGATGGTTTTATTTTTTCTTCAACGTGTATCCTTGTGACCCTTGGAATCTCCTACTTGATTTAGAAAATAACATAGAAAATGGTGATCAAGTGTTGGGTGCTAGGAAAATCAGAAGTCATGACTGAAGATATGGTTATGTTTTATGTAGAACATTGTTATTTTTGGATGGATTGGAAAATAAACATCCATAGATATGCAGCTTATTATGACGACATGCAAGTTCATTGATGCTCATGTCTGGTCTTCAATTCTGTTATGCATAATATTAAAGCTAACCTTTCAGGTACATTAAGAAGTCTTGTTATGAGCACATCCCGGATTAACAGCTAGATGTGAAGGCTACACTTGGATGTAAAAATAGTACATTGATAGTTGTATCTCGTCATATCTATGTCAATCATTCATGGATGCTTTTTGAAATAATTAGGCATGCTGAGTATATAAGAAAGTGTTAAATAAGGATTCTTTATTGTTGTTACATTTCTTGTTATAGTAATAATGCCTTGGGTTTGAGTCAAAGCTTAGGGTTCCTTTAAAGGGCCCTTTTTGGGGGGCATTGTCTGTATCAAGCAACAAATATTGTCATTAACTGTTTTGTTATATATGCATGTTGGATAATTGTTATTTACAAAGTTAATTACAATTGACATTATTTTGATTACATGGAAAGGTATTTAAATTTTTTGATAATATCTACATAAGAAGCTTGACATTTTTATGTCAAAATTAAGGGCATCTGACTGTTCAATGATGATGCAAGCTGATACCATTTACATATAGGGAAATAATAAACAAATTTAAATAAGAAATAGACGTAACAACACAAATGATTTAGTGTTAAAAATGCTGGCATTGGTTTATGCAAATTTGAAAGGTTGTTGTACAATTAGGCCACCAGGTCATACACGTATCACAACAATCATGTGTTGCAATAACATTATATGAAACATTACAGAAAATAGACTTATTTTCTAATTCGCTCTGCTTAACCGAAAATAAATTATTTATCACCTAATAAGAGTTGTGAAACCTTCAGTCTCAGGCAGAATAAACAACAACACTCAAGTAGGATAAAGGCCTTCGCATTGTTTCAATATCGTTGTATGCAAATCTATACAAATAATAACTGGTATTTCTGTGAGTTAGATGGATCCATATATCATAATCTCTGGACATGCAATCATGGAAGCTCACAACCTGCGGAATAAACTATTATATCGATTATTTACAAGTTGATTCAAACAAACAAATACTTTTTCGCTAACAACCAATCAATGGATGCGAAAATATGGCTTAATAAAAACATTACTTTGGGGTGGGCGGGTGGGATACGATGTGTTCAATGCAATGCGAAGTCATCGAGTGGCGATTTACCCGCCTTTCCATATCAATACCGGCGAGCACGAAATATTCGTGCTAACTATGTTATACCTCACTTAAGCGGACAATTATAACTCTTAACCTGCAATAAATACATTTATCAATATACAAAATTTTGAAGATATATTCCCCAATACAATACCTATTTAGATTAATATTCTAGAGTTTAGTTAACATTTCTAAAATATCTTAACATTAGATATAAATTACCAAAGATAAGAAATATCTATGCAGCTCAAAATAGCTTTTTGAAATTTCATTTAAATTACACGCAAACAGTTCAGACTTTATAAGAAATCATTTGGGGAATAAAAAATGTTAATATTTGGATAGTATTTCGTTTCTCATGTTTACTGTAAATGAATGGACAATGCAATTCATTAATCTATAAAATATGTTACTAACATGGTTTATGGGGAACATAACCTCCATTGATCAATATATGCACTCAGCTTACACTTTTCGTTATATAAATCTCATTCTTGTTACATTCTCCTGAATATTTGATCAGCAACCTATAGAATACACAGAAAAATAAGCCCGTACGATTATATATTTTATCAGTAAGACGAGCTCAACTAAAACAAGAATTACATTATAACTAAACTTTTCATGTTATATGTGTTTTTGTCAATTTTCTTGCCAATTAGTAAACAGGAGAGAAGCCGGCATATATGAATTTTTGCCACATTGTTTCTTGGTCTTTGTCGCAGAGAAAGCAGGTAAAATTCTAATGCCTGTTTAGGTCTGTTTTCTTGTTCCATACATTGCCCTAAAATATTGAGTGCTGTTTCTTTATGTCCAAGGTATTTGTTTATTTCTATAATGTTTGCAAGTTTACTTAGTGCTTGTCGTTGATCCTGATACCGTTGAAGATGCCTGTATACTTTATATTGTAGGAAGTACAGGAAAGGAAGAGAATCAATTGTAGCCAAGTCCATCCAGTCTTCATTTTGATCTCTGTGTTTTATGTCATCCTCTGTAGATCTGAACATTTCATATTGTAGTTCATGAGGAACACAGTTGATCTCTTGTTTTAAAAATCTGACACAAAATGCTGTAATATTTTTGACACAGTCCTCAATTTGTTCAAAACATACCGTTTTAATTTCTGGTGGAGGCATCATATCCCAGCAGTTACACATAGGAAAAACAGGATAAGAGTAAAACTGGCACTCAGTGTGTCTCAGAATAAGTTCAGTTTTCTCTATATCCCCTGTACTGTAGAATACTGAAGCCAATTTCAGTCTGCCAGATGAGACATCTGATTCCAAACCATTTAAAAGCCAAACCAAGGCTTGAGGTGACACTTGATGTTTTAAACCTATACTTTCTGAAGCCAGGGCAGATCCATATGTGGAACAGAGAAAAGGTGCTTGGAACGTGAATGCAGCATGTTCTAAATTATTATCATTGTCGTTCAAGGTCATTAATCTTTCTACAGTTTGCTTCATTATTCCAATATCTTTATTGCTTAATCCATTCAAATAAAAACGATGGGTAATACTACAATACATTGACAATGATAAGTAATGGGTAGTAGAAACAGTTTTACAAATATCCAGTGAAGTGTCTAAATTGTTATGTCCTTCTGGTAGAAATTTCAGTTTAACTTGAAGTCTCTCTCCAAGATCATCAATATTGTTTGTAAGTAAACTTTGTACATCATCCTGTATAAAGTCACTTATATTTTTTAAAAGTTGATGTTTTGTCTCATCTGTAAATTGCCCTGCCATCAAATTGTTTTCTGGTATAATGAAATGTGGCAGATTGTCATTCTGTACACAACTGCTTAGTTTCATCAAGCAGTATTTTAAACATTCTAATAAATTGTTCTCTTTCCAAATCCTTGGCTCTTTTTGTTCTATACAGTGAAATAGAATTGTTTTGCACATGAAACTTGAGATGTTTATTTCCCCATGAGGATTTAAAAGAGATTTAAGAATAATCTTCATTAAAACATAGCACTTTATGTGTGTTATATCTAAATCAAACATTAGACATCTTTCTGCCAGGGATGTAGATATTCTCCATTCCAGTTCAGGATATTTACTGATCTTACTTCCAGTTGGAACAACAAAACACCAGGTACTTGCTGCATATCTTCTCATCTCTTGTGTTGGCCATTTGCCAATACCTTGTCTCTCTAACCATCCTGATGCTGTTGACTTTGGCCATGATTTAAAGGGATACGCAACCACTTTGTCTGCATCATAGTCTCCTTGTTGTCCCTGTGTAGCAAATGATGGTCCATGTCGTGTAACATATTTCATATTATCAGTTTCATATACTTGGTTCTTATGCAATATTCTTCCTTCCTTGTCAATTATATAGTATTTATTAGGAACAACAGTGGCAGAAAGAGGTATATCATGTTGGAGAAGCTGTAAGAAACAGTACCCTGGGGTAGTGTTCTCATCTTGTATTATGATGAAGTTTGTTTTGCCATGTTCCCACTCTGACCAGTCCTGTATTACATTGTTATCATTATTAAAAAGTAGCTCGTCAGTGTCTGAGATGAGTCCTAAAGTAGTTGTTCCCTCAATCCTACTCCCTAGACAATATGAAATTATATTGTGTCCAACTGACTTCCATGTGATATTAGTCATAGTTTCCATCAACTTGAAATGTCTTCTTGCTTTCATTACCATTCTTTCATTCACGCCAATATCATCTAAAACCTCTGATAACATCAGTGATATATGTTTCCTGCTGTCAGGTGATTGAAACATTCTGTAATTTAAGGAAAGGAAAAGTTGTAAAAAATAACAACTAAGTTTCTTTTGTTAAATATTGTACTTTTCCCATTATTTAGTTCTTTATGCCTAGAACAGAACTGAACAGGAGAAATACTATACTAGTATTCAGTTCAGTTAAGTTCAGTGTTTTAGCAATCAGCAAAACATTTTTTGTCCATTTACAATATTATCATCTTATCGCAAAGACAGTAAGTGCAATGTAAACAGATACCGTAAAATTGTTATAAATCTCCCCCAGGGGCTAAACTTTTCCAAAGCGGGTGAGTTTATTTAAACTTTATTTTTCCTAAATCCAAAATTTGAGTTCAGCACTGAAAAAAGGGGCCTTTATTAGAGAAGGGGAGTTAAAAGGAATTTTACAGTATCTTTATCATTATTGTAACTAAGAAATACATGAAATAGACCAGGAATTGAATAAAATACAAAGTAATACAAAACAAACTCTTGATGGAACAAAAAACCGTTTAACTAGTAAAGCATTTCGTTACAGATCCAGTAGGGGCGTCCGTGGCCGAGTGGTTAAGGTCGTTGACTTCAAACCACTTGCCCCTCACCGCTGTGGGTTCGAATCCCGACAAGGACTTTGGATTCTTTCATGTGAGGAAGCTATCCAGCTAGCTTACGGAACGTCGATGGTTCTACTCAGGTGCCCTATCGTGCCTGAAATAATGCACGGAAAAGTAAAGCTGGAACGTCGCGATATGTCCTATACTGTGTCGATGTGACGTAAAATCCAAAACAAAACAAACAAAAACAGATCCAGTATTTCGTTTTGATTTCTTTATATATTTGTTTTGAGATATTTATTCATTATTTCGTTGATTTTAATTGATTATTGATTATGGTGTTATGGTGTGATAAACGATATTTCGACTTGCTTTGAATTTATATTTTTCTATGGTCATTTTTGGTTTAAACAAAACTCTTTTAAACAAAATTCTACTTTCTGTTTGATCTATTATTAATATTGAAAGCTTTTTGCATCCCAATGTAACTTTCAATTTGTATTATGTGTATTTTATAAAATTAATTTGTACTGACATAATAAAGTAAGAATAATTAAGAAAATCTTATTACCTGACGAGATGGGTGTTAATTTTGTTGTCTATTTTTACTTCCTGTTTTGGTTGTGAATGGAGATACAAAGGGAAATGACACTCATCCTCTTCCTGTTATAGGTAAAGTTAATTGAATTATTTCCCTTTTCAGTAGTGTACAATAGTATACAGCGTTTAATATTATAAAAAAATACTTTATAAAACATGATTTCATATACACATGTAGTTCTATATATTTATACTCGTTAAAAATTAATTAAGATAAAACTTAATCATATCCCCACCACAAAATGTAGACTTGGCTATTCTGTAATCACTTTGTCATATTATAAGTAAGCCAGTCCGACTGTCTCCCCTGTGTTCCGCTCTTTAATTCCTTCGCCCCTTAAATATATGGATCTAAATAAACACCTTTGTGTAAGAGAAAGTGGAGTTAAATGTCATTTCTGTGACAGCTCTAGTTATTTTAACTATTCCCTGTAGTTGGAGATTTTTTAATTTACAAGTAAGACTACGTAAGACTCGTTTTCATTTACTCTAATTTTGTAAAAGTTTGTTGCTATTTTAAAGGATGTATCGAAAGCTTTGATGTATATCTTTTTTTTCTTTATTTTTTCATTTTATATTGATATCGTTTAATTTCAAGGCTACATGTTTAATTATAAATTGTTATTCTTTTTTAATACTTTACTAAAATGTTCATCATAATGATGTGTTTTTTTTCAATCTTTAATCAGAATTCTGTTTGCTATGATAACATTAAAAGTTATATTAGACTCAATATGATCCCAGAATAATTAGATATACAGGAAATTTGATGAACCATATTCTGCAGGTCAAGTTGATAAATGGTGCCATGTTATAAATTATATAATTAATTGTTGGTATATTGAGTGCCAATTTTCGATTGGTAAAGGTCGTTGATTTCCAACCACTTGCCCCTCTCCTCTCTAGGCTCGAATTCAGAAAGAGATTTTTGATGCTTCATGTGAGAAAACTATACAGCTAGCGTACAGAACTTTGGTGGTGCTAATCAGGTTTCCACTTGGGCCTGAAATAATGCATGGGGGACACCTCAGGCTTCCTCCACCAGTTAAGCTGGAAAATTACTTTATAACCCCTTTTCTGTAAGCGCGTCGTAACACCCAACCAAAACCAGTTGGTTACGAACTGTTTTATAAATTTTATTCTTGCTGATCAAAAAATTTGATAGGCATGTCTTTTGGTCTATATGTTAAGATTGGTCATAAAAATTTACACAGACCATTTATAGTCTCCAAATTTCACAAGTGCATGCATTTTGTAGCGCTATACAAGTTACTACCCCCTTACAGGTCACATATTAAATGGTATATGTAGGTGTTGAATTTATTAGAATGTAGCGTTAAAATGATAATTACGTGCTGCTGCTCTCTTCAGGCCATAGGTCATCTAAAGTTATTTTGTTAGCATGCTTCACACTGCTTTTTACTATAAATAAAATATTTTTTAAACACCTCTGAAAAAATAACATTTATCTTCAGTGGCAATAGTTACAATTTATTATAACTAAAATGGTGTTTTCTTTTTCAGATACAAGATCTATTTCATCTCTAGATATGTTGGACATTGAGAACACAGATGATGCTGATACTGTTACAGTTGCTGTGAGTACTCTCTCTTCGTTACTTTGAATTCTAGAGTTTAAGATATTATGCCTCTTTGTCATTGTGCCTTATGTTTCAAATAATAATTATTACTTTTGAATTTTAGTCAGCAAGTTCATTAGAAGATGATGTACAGTTTGATGATCTAGAGCAAACGCTAGAACAGTTTACACCCCATGACCTTACAACTTGGAGGGTCACAATACCAAGATTAGGAGCAAGACCTGACCCTGAAAATCCTAAAAAACAATTCTGTGTGTTTATAGTGGAAATAAGACGTCTTGATGTTACAGATGGTAAGATGTAATGTCTATGTTATTATATACTTAGTAACAAAATCTATAATATTTCAAAGATATTATGGCATAATCGTAATCAACAAAGTTTAAAATTGTAGATCTATATACTCTGGAAAAACATCTAAATTACTGTGCTCATGACAAAACCTGACCTTCAGAAATTCCGAAAATGATTTCAGATTGACGATAGATCTACTGGATAGACATCAAAGAAGACATTGTAAAAAAACAATATCAAAGTGAAATAATTATATCTGGTCAAGTATATGATGTAAATCTAGATATGGGCCTACACTACAGATGGTACCTAAGAAACTGTTCAACAATTAGACTGAATGTAACAATATAAGACAACAATCAAACAACATTTTCATCTATATTTTCTCAAGCCATTAAGAATCCTTTTTAGTTAAACACTCAATTTGTCCAGGATTATACATTGTTTTATTTTCAATTATTTTGTTTCCTGTTAATTTTTAAGATGGACATTCTGTATGGAATGTTGGTAGAAAGTATACAGAATTTTATACCATGGATCAGAAGCTAAAAGAATTCCACGGAGTTGAGCTTGAAGATTGCATTTTACCGCCAAAGAAATTCATCGGTACTAAGACACAAGAGTTTATCGAAGGAAAAAAACAACTTTTTGAAAACAATTCACAAGTAAGTGCAATTCAAAGTTTAAAAAACAGAAATCCCTCTCCCTTATCCCACCTTATTGCTTTGTTAATTGAAATATAAAATTGATAAAAAAAATGAAAAGATAAGGTTTCAATTGAACTCGAAAGTGTCTGTATTATGGTAATAGCACAATGAACATGATATGTTGATAATACTTAATTTACCAGCTTTATAAACAAAGGCATGATTTGATTTTAAAGTTTTATATTTTCAGAAATTGTTGACGAAACCTGTTTTGAAAGGCAGTCAACTTTTGTACAATTTTTTCACTGCCGAGACAGCATTTGATTTTGGATTAGACATCAAAATAGGTAAGTTGTGTAAATATGTTGGGTAAGTTCGTTATGTAAACTCGTGTGCATATAACAGTTTGAGACATGATTACAGGTCTATGATTATTTTTTTTACATTTTGTTTGTTTGATTAGGAAAGATATGTTCAAATATGTTAGTTATTAAATATTTTTTTATGCGTTAATTGGTTTAAAAAGAGGGACAGATGTCTGTTGGTAGCTCAATTTTTGTGTTTTGATTTTGAAATCCCTCAATCTTGGTAACTGCTTTACAGCTGGGAAAATCATTAAGTTCGGCAGGCTTAATGTTGAAATTTAAATGCTTATATTTCTACCTCTGTCAAGATATTTACTATAGGCAGTCAGTGAATTTTTTTGCTTCGGGTCAACAAGTAGGGAACCCCATTTATTCAAAATATCATACATACATACGAATACAATCAATATGAATAATCTTTTTTTAGATAAGGGATAGAACGATGAGCTTGAACTTACAGTCTACGCAGACTCTTACGTGGTTATTGACTTAAACAGAGCACCGCCTGGGGCCTAGAAGCACCAAGAACGGTCTCCCTTCAAAAATATGCGCCCCAGACCGTGCCAAGTGCACTTCATACCCTCAACCCCCAGGGTCAGTGAAATATTACGTCTTGTATAAACATTTTTCTTTGCAGGTCGTGCAATAAAATCTGGTGCAAGAAAACTTGTGAAAGAGGTAAATGTGAAACTATTTTGTGCAAATGATTGGTAAGAATTTGGTAATATAATATGAATTTGGATTTATGGCTTTATCAACAAAAGGGTAAATTAGGGTAAAATTTGTTTCAATACAGCTATTGAAACCAGGGCGACCGTGGCCGAATGGCTTCTAACCACTTGCCCCTCATTGCTGTGGGTTTGAATCGAGACAAAGACTTTTGATTCTTTCATGTGAGGAAGTTATCCAGCTAGCTAACAGAACGTAGGTGGTTCATACGTACCAGTTACCTCAGTAATCAGAAATAATGCACAGAATGGCACAATACGACTATCTCCAACAATAAAGCTTAAAATGGCGTATGCTACAGCATGTCATATAGACAAAATGAAAACCCTTTATAGATTTTATTTAATTTTCACATGATCTGAGAATATGATAACTGGAACATTTTAGGCCAAAAATAGGGATTTATGGCCTTGTGTTTTTAAAAATAATTTACCCTTGAATCTTTTTTTACTTGTAATTATACCCTCAAAAACGAAGTTTGGGGGGTATATAGGAGTCACCCTGTGGTCGGTCGGTTGGTCGGGCGGTCGGTCGGTCGGTCGGTCCAGACGTCTGTTGCATTTTCCTTGTCCGGAGCATAACTTGAAGACTAATGGTTGGAATTCAATATAACTACATACAATGGTCAAGCACATTGAGAGGAAGTGCATTGCACAAGAACCATAACTCTATCTTGACTAATTACAGAGTTATTGCCCTTTGTTACTTTTCCTTGTCCGGGGCATAACTTGAAAACTACTGGTTGGAATTCAAAACAACTTCATATAATTGCCAAACACAATAAGGGGAAGTGTAGTGCACAAGAACCATAACTCTATCTAAAGTAATTACAGAGTTATTGCCCTTTGTTGCTTTTCCATTGCTTTATTTGTCCGGACCATAACTTGAAGACTAAATGTTTGAATTCAATATAACTACATACAATGGTCAAGCACATTGAGAGAAAGTGCAGTGCGTAAGAACCATAACTCTATCTTGACTAATTACAGAGTTATTGCCCTTTGTTACTTTTCCTTGTCCGGGGCATAACTTGAAAACTACTGGTTGGAATTCAAAACAACTTCATACAATTGTCAAACACAATAAGGGGAAGTGTAGTGCACAAGAACCATAACTCTATCTAAAGTAATTACAGAGTTATTGCCCTTTGTTGCTTTTCCATTGCTTTTTTTGTCCGGACCATAACTTGAAGACTAAATGTTTGAATTCAATATAACTACATACAATGGTCAAGCACATTGAGAGGAAGTGCAGTGCGTAAGAACCATAACTCTATCTTGACTAATTACAGAGTTATTGCCCTTTGTTACTTTTCCTTGTCCGGGGCATAACTTGAAAACTACTGTTTGGAATTCAAAACAACTTCATACAATTGCGAAACACAATAAGGTAAAGTGCAGTGCACAAGAACCATAACTCTATCTAAAGTAATTACAGAGATATTGCCCTTTGTTGCTTTTCCATTGCTTTTGTTTTGTCCGGACCATAACTTTAAGACTAATAGTTTGAATTCAATATAACTATATACAATGGTCAAGCACATTGAGAGGAAGTGCAGTGCGTAAAAACCATAACTCTACCTTGACTAATTACAGAGTTATTGCCCTTTGTTACTTTTCCTTGTCCGGGGCATAACTTGAAAACTACTGGTTGGAATTCAAAACAACTTCATACAATTGTCAAACACAGTAAGGGGAAGTGCAGTGCACAAGAACCATAACTCTATCTAAAGTAATTACAGAGTTATTGCCCATTGTTGCTTTTCCATTGCCTTTTTTGTCCGGACCATAACTTGAAGACTAATGGTTGGAATTCAATATAACTTCATATAATGGTCAAGCACATTGAGAGAAAGTGCAGTGCACAAGAACCATAACTCCATCTTGACTAATTACAGAGTTATTGCCCTTTGTTACTTTTCCTTGTCCAGAGCAGAACTTGAAAACTACTGTTTGGAATTCAATACAACTTCATACAGTTGTCAAGGACATTAAAAGGAAGTGCAGTGCACAAGAGCCATAACTCCATTTTGACAAAATACAGAGTTACTGCCCTTTGATGCTTTTCCTTGTCAGGAGCATAACTTAAAACATACTGGTTGGAATTCAAAACAACTTCATACAATGGTCAAGCACAATCAGAGGAAGTGCAGTGCACAAGAACTATAACTCTATCTTCAGTATTTATAGATTTATTGCCCTTTGTTCCTTTTCTTTGTCTTTCTGGACTTATTACAGAGTAATTCCATTAAACTTCATCAATGGCCAACCACATTGAAAGGAAATGCAACATATAAGAACCACAATTATCTTTAATTGCCAACAACCATAACTCTATATTTCTATTCTTTTACAAGGTATTATGTTACTAGTAACATCCTCATTTCCGAAGCAGTCTTGTGGGGGTATTAATCACATTTAGTGATAGTTCTAGTTTAAAAAGGAAGTAACAGCTATCTAAACTGTAGCACAGATGCATTATGCCCCATTTCTCTGTTTCTACCCTCTGCATTTGTAGAATATAGAAATTTTCTTTGGTCTTATTTACATTATATATATGCCATATGTCTGAAATCAAACGGACCTTGTATGATATTTATTGTTTTTGCACTCACACTGTTCGTTGATAGAATCTTATATAAGTCGACCCTCTCCAAATTTCTTTTAATCAATCAACGATTCTGAAACTTACTCCTTTATGATTCGAGAAACCTTTTTTTGTATAACATTTTGCATGACAATTTTGTGAAAACACAAAGCTCTTTTACAAATACAATATCCTCAGTTTTAAAAAACAATATTCTGATTTGCTCTTTTGCTTGTTATTTTCAGATGTGCTTTTCTTCGACAATGACCCACCGAGGTAAAGAGACTTTTTATATTACTTTATAATAGAAAATGATCTGGTTTACATTTAATAAATCTTGTGCATAAATACTGTGTTTGGTGATTTTCTTTCCCCATGAAGTGCAGGCAACACCAGACCATGCTAAAATGAAAAATAACTTTATTTTGAAGGAGCGTTACTGCTAGCACCGATCCTTTTTGTTTGGACTTATTATTAGAAGCTTTATTTTCAACATGTTACGTAAATTATAGATTCTGATTACTGACCTAACTAGTACCGTATGAAACACCCAAAACAACACATCAAATGGTAATGTCATTGAGCTGCACTAAATTGCCATTAAAATCCTATTAAAATTAACTTAATCAGTTGTCTTTTTTTGTCAACAAATAAATTTGTTAACCAGATTTTAAAATATGGCAACTAGAGTTTGAGGGAAAATTAAACAAAGAATAAACAAGAAGTTGAAAAAATACACACCGAAACGCAAACACACCATCAAAGTCACTTACTAGAAAAAAAAGTATATTTCTAAGCTAAAAATGAAAATGATATTTTTGATGATAATGGAATATACAATATTTGTATATTTAGGACAGACGATGATAAAAGAAAACGTTTCCAAGAAGTGACGACTGGCTGCCTGAACTTCCTGCCAAGTATGTAACAACGTTACAACTACTTAAGTTTTAAATAAGTCTTCTTATGTTAAATGATATCTGAATTGACGGTGAGAGACAAACGACCAATAGGCTCAAATGTCAAAGTTCAATGATTACGGAGAAACTTTCGCATTGCCTTGCATTCCCGCAGGGTTGAGATAGCGTTCTCTAGATTACTCAAGACAACTAAATTACAAACTTCAAAATAGAATTGTCTTACTGATTTTATGTAAAATGAGTTATTATAACAGATGAAGAAATTTTTTTTTGAAATTTCATAGCATGGTGAACGTATCATAGTCATGCAATCTTATTATTTTTGTAACATGGTCATTGTAAGTGTGGAATTGTTCATGTTTTTATCTTTCTTATTTCAAGAAAAGAATTTCGTACTCACCCTTGCATTGGTGTTTGTGTTTAGGTAGTTTTGGAAGTAATCTGTTCGTAATTTTTGGTGCTCTTGTTGCAAACTTTCATATTTATATTTTTCATTACAGAACCAGCGGTATGGGTGATAGGTGAGACTCCACATAGAGAGGGAACTTTAATGATTCTACATGCTTTACAACAACCTAAACTTAACAAACAGGTATATACAGGGCAAACACTTACCTGTACAATATTTGATATTCGTAACTGTGTAATTACATTTAAAGTTGTTATCTGCATTTGGGATTAAAAAGCTTACGAATTTGATTAATATCAATTAAGATTTGTTTATTGATTGTCTGTAATTCATTTAACTAATACATGTGCATATAATATCATATATTTAACTGGACATTTATTAGCTTAAACTTAAGTTTAGTTTATTCTGCAACTTTCTAAAATCATGACCAATGAAGACATATTTTGCATGTTATATCATGCATTAAAAAGATCATTACTTTAACTATTGTATAAAAATTATTTGTTTAAGAATACGTGAGTGTATTGTTACATTTTATTATTTCAGCTCAGTTACGTGTTCCTAGATATATTCATCACAGAATTGTTTCCAGAGTTAAAGCAGTGATCAACTTGAGTGAATACATGAAATCATCAGCAAGAAAATTTTATATATAGAACAATAATGTTTTGCTTAACTCAATATTTATATTGTTCTGTTTGTGAGATCTAATTTTAAGGTTACAGTCAAAATTTGAAAGTGGGAACGGACAATGATTCATAATGTACATATCATTCCTATTTGCCCGTATGTGCTTAAATCCAGTCTGCTGAAACCTAAAATGATAAACATTTGCCACCAGTATAAGGCTAGACCAACCTTCTCATTCTTGAAGACTAACTAGCATCTATACTAATGACAGACTAACTTTTAATATTCACTTTTGTATCTCAAAATTGAGAATGGACAGTTTTCAAAGTGTAATGTAAGAAATTTAGCAGGTTAAAGGTTAACTAGCCTCCGAGTCTGAGTGGTGAATGGCTACCTAACATCGATCCTCTACTCATTGAGGGCAATTTCCTTGCTAAAACTGTTTGAATCAGTATTATATCAGAGGTTTATCACAATTTTGTTATAACTTGTATATGTTATGTCAAATGATGTAATGTTGTCATTTATATGTAGTGGATGTTTGTCTGTTTGGGTAGATTATAGATCCACTGTAATGATCAACTGAGTTGTTTGAAGGAATAGAAAGAAGTGTCTGTTTTGTTCAGTAAACAAATTACTAGCAGCTTAAATAATGTTTGTGTCATTGAGTGATTTTTATTTAATTCATGTAAAACTACTTAGATATAGTAATAATGACGTGCAATATATCTTTACATGCCTACTGTGATAAATTATGTATTGAAATGAAATATTGTAATTTGATTGACTTGGATTCCTATCTTAGACACAATTAGAGAAAAATTACATTAGTTTAGAAATGGTATTGTCACTGATCTGCTATTTATCGCTCTTGACCACAGTGGTTTTGAATACTGATATATTTTGACAAGCGCATAGCGTCGAAAGGTTGTAAAAGGCCATAGGTTTTGTATAAGCGTAACGAATACCTAAAAGTTAAATTACTATATCGCTGGTACAGTTAGTTTAACTTTAAAGACTTAATTATGTAAATCACTTCAAAAGAATTTTTAAGGTGTTTGACAAATGTTTGATTGTTTTCCTCTTACATTAAAATTAATTTCATTCTATCGATGAAATATGTTCAATCTTTATTCCACTATAACGTATTCATGAAGATTTCATTTTTAATGGTTACATATAGAACAAAAATTGAAAAAGATATTGATATTTTTTTATCAAAGGACTATTTGTGTTAAACTTTTACGATTGTTTTTAAAGAACTTAACATTATTCCAAAACTTGAACAATATCTCTGAACAAGAGATTTTTCACTATATTATTTGTTACACTTCATTGATGAATTGATGATTAACTGTTCATTTTAGCTCGACTTGGGAGACCTATTGTTTTCGCTCCGGCATCAGCAACGTGCTTAATTAAAGATTTTGTGTGCTAGTTTGTAACTTGTGCAAGTTTGTTACTCGAAAAATACATAAGAGAATTGGCTGAAACTTTAGACACTTACTTAAGAGCTTATTATGTGGTCATAGCTATAACATGGACTTTGACAGAATTATTGTCCTTTTGAAGAATAAAAATCACATTATCCAGACTCTTGTTTTATCGCCAGGCACTGAGAATAGTAGAGCACTCGGTCATCAGACAACTCTTGTTACTTTAAAATATGTGGAAATTTTATGAGCTAAAACTTCTAGCTATAATGATTGCTACGGCAGCATTGTAATCTGTGTTATTGTCTTTATCGCCGTGTCTTATGTTGCCCATTATTCAAACATCTCAACATGAAACTTATAATACTTGCTCATCATCATATGTGCAGTTGTTAGACACGGGGAAAAGTCTAAAAGCTATATAATTGGAGTTATGTCCATTTTGAACTTTGATTTTTCGCAAAATTCTTCTTCAGTTGAATGATTTTAAAGTATGAAATTTGTCAATAAGAAAATTGATTGCTTGTTTAATTTAACAAGGTTCATTTGTTTGACAAGGGTCATTAATTTGAAAGCTAATTTTTGTTTAGGTAATGTCCTTTCGTAGCATAGAAGTTTTGTCAAATTGCTAATTAAGCTAAATGATTCCAAAACTGATCATTATAACAATGCACAATTGTAAAAACTAAGTGCATTATCCTTAGTTCAATATTTGAGTAAGACTAGAGGCATTCAGGCAATATTTTTAAGAGTTATGTCCCTTTTTAACTTAAAAATATGGCTATTGATTATCATCGCGTAAACACCGCATCGTGTTACAAGAATGCGATTTATATTTATAAAAAAAATGTCAATAGATTTTTCTTTTAAGTTAAATGTTCACTGTGTTATTGATGAAATAAAACTCAAATAAATGTGTAATATTAATGTTTTGTTGTTATTAATTTGAAATCAGTCTGTATCCAATGTTTCCAAGATGGTTTTATCTTTTCTTCAACGTGTATCCTTGTGATCCTTTTTAAATACATGTATGTTGGTGATATGATATATGGGGGACATAACCACCATTGATCAATATAGCAATCAGCTTACACTTCTCATGATATCAAACTCATGCTGGTTTCATTCTCCTGTATATTTGATTAGCAACATATAGAATACACAGAAAAATAAGCCCGTAAGATTATATAGTTTATCAGTAGGAGAGCTCAACCGGAACAAACATTACATTATGATTAAACCTTTCATGCTATATGTGTTTTTGTCAATTTTTATTGCAAACTAATAAACAGGAGAGTAGCCAGCCGACAAATATGAATCGTGTGCGTATAACAGTTTCAAATATGCCTTTTTTATTTTACGTGTTTTGTCAGATTAGGAAAAAATATGCTAAAATATGTTAATTATTAAATATTTGTTTATGTGTAAATTTGTTTGAAAAGGGGCCAGATGTATGTTGGTAACTCATTTTTTTGTGTTTTGATATAAAATCCTCCAACCTTTAATTAACTGCTTCAAAGCTGGAGAATTAAGTATTAGTGTTACTAAGTGTTGAAATCTAAATGCTAAATTCTACCACTGTGAAGATACCTCTTATAGGCGGTCAGTGAAATCATTTATTTCACTTCGGGTCCTGAAATTGGGAACCCCACTTAATCAAAATGTTATACATACAATGTACATACATCATGCATACATGCATACATTAATATCAGATACAGTCAATATGGATAACATTTTTGTAGACAAAGGATAGAAAGATCAGCTGGAACTGATAGCCTACGCTGACTCTTTCGTGGTCCTGGACTCAAACAGAGCACGAGCTTGGGCATAGAAACTCAAATCACGGTCTTCCCGCGGTAACATGTGCTCAAGACTGTGTTATGTGGACTTTGGATCCTCGACCTCAGGGTCAGTGAAATATTAGGTCTTGTATAAATATTTATCTTTGCAGGTCGTGCAATAAAATCTGGTGCAAGAAAACTTGTTAAAGAGGTAAGTTTGAAACTATTATGTGCAAATGATTGGTAAGGACTTTGTAATATAATATGAATTTGGATTTATGGCTTTATCAGCAGAAGATAAATTAGGGTAAAATTTGTTTCATTTCAGCTATTGAAAAAAGGGCGTCCGTGGCTTTATGGCTTCTAACCACTTGCCCTTCATTGCTGTGGGTTCGAATCGGAACTTTAATTTTTTAATGTGAAGAAGTTATGCAGCTAGCATATAGAACGTCGGGGTAACAGTTACTTCAGTAATCAAAAATAATGCACAGAATGGCACAATATGACTCCAACAATAAAGCCTGAAAAACGTATGCCACAGCTTTCATGTAAACAGACGTTTTCATGTTAAAATATAGACAGAGTTAAAACCCTTTATAGGTTTCACATGCTCTAAGAATACGATTACTGAAAGAGTTTTAGCCGAAACAGGGATTTGGTGGAATATAGGCTTTGACAGTCTTGTTTTTTTTATAATTCATCCTTGAATCTGTTTTTATTTGTTTTTTAAAAAGGGAAATAACAGCTATCAAAACTTTAGCACAGATGCATTAAACCCCTTTTCTTTGTTTCTACCCTCTGCATTTGTAGAATATACAAAAGTTTCTTTGGTGTAATTTATATTTTATATATGCCATATATCTGATATCAAAGGGACCCTTGTATGATATATGTTGTCTTTGTGCTGACACTATTCGTTGGAAGAATCTAATTGCAATGAATTTTATTTCGTGATGTTTTAGCTTGACAATTAATTACATATTTTTATAGAAAGGACAGCACCTTGAGACATTTCTGTGTGGATTTGAGAGAAGTACAGAGCCTCCAAACCCTCGACCTGGGTAATAATTTCGTCATTTCATTTTATTGTTTTCAATACAGATTTGTGTTTATTCAATTAAATCCTTTATGCTGTTTTCAATTCAGATTTTTTTCATCCCATATTATGTAATCTAACTGATCTTGATCCTTTTGGATACTTACTTTTGTGATTTTTGGTATCAAAGTTCTTTTAATTTACGATCTTATGTGCGGTTTAAGTTTAAAAGCTGGAGTTAATTTTTAGAATTTAGCATGATAGTCATCAGACACATCTGAAAATCAACCACAAAAATTCATCAAGTAAATAATAAGTATTTTTTTTGTCTTGTTTACATTCAGGAAACAAGAAAGGAGAGATTCCGGAGCATCATTATTGTCAAATTCGAGTCTTAAGGTGAGATTTTCTTTACTTATATTTTCTTTCGTGTCCAATGTATCCGCAAGTATGTTCACCAGTCTTGTCACATTATTCAAATGCTTAATTATAAACTGAACTGTCATTGTGAACTGCCTCTGGTCTCGATTTATTTCTGATGTGAAACAGGAAATAAAAAATGTGTTTTTGATTATTTTATGCGAGGAAGCTTGTCAGCTAAGAAGCTTTCCAGCTAACTTTCGGAAAGTTGAGTGTCCGATTTTTGCTGAACTTGTACAAATCTTGGTCTTTAGCTTAGACCTCTAAAGCTAGAAAGTTACTGTATAACTTTTTCAGTTAGATTATGTAATTTTTTTTCAGTTATGCCAGACAATGTTTGAGAACAACGCTAATGGTATAGATAGGCGTGACCATGTGGACGGTGACTTGTTGGTAGAAAAATCAGAGGTGGAAGGAATTTATGATTCCTTGATTTATATAGGTACATGTTTTAAGAGTTTTACTTGAATTTTTAAACCATATTTTGCTTTTGTTAAATTAAAGTTTGAATTTTGAAAATCAAATGTATATTTTCTTTTAAATCCCTTCAGTGTTAAGCTGTTTCTATCAAGGTACATGTAGGTAAAGTGGGGTCTTCCTTCACAGGTAAAAGTAAAAATTAACTAAGCATCAAAAATTGTAAACTAATTGTGACATTTTCCAACCATTTGAACTAACATTTTGTCTTTAAGAGAGTTTACTTACATTTCAGCAAGGTATGTTTATAGAGTTCCGGACTGGTGCCATCATTTGTTGTACACTGCACGTATGTTTGTGAAACAAACTTTAGAAGCATATTTAGACTGGTACACTGACTATAAAGTTCACATGGTCACACGGGAACACAGGCTGGTCTCCCTAATTCACCTACTTAGAGGTAATCAGATTACTATCTATTGTTTTGCAACTCAAAACACGAAAATGATGTTAGAGCGGCAGTCTTGACAAAGTGTTGATGTTCATTACTTTGTTTCGTTTGCCCCACAATCCAGTCGGAGATTTTTATTACTTGCATGTCAGAAAGCTACCTGGAATTTTATCCAAACTCTATCATTCATTCTTTTTATATGCCTGCATGTTGCACAAATGACAAGCTATGGTTTACCTCCATCAATGAATTTGGAAAGTTACCAATTAACCCTTTAATGTCAAAGCGATTCTGAATCTTACTCCTTTATGATTTGAGAAACCTAATTTTGTATAAAACATTATATGAAAATTTTGTGAATACACAAAGACCTTTTACAAATACAATATCCTCAATTTCAAAACTTTCGTCATATGAATAAACAAACAAAAAGCAATATTCTGATTTGCTCTTTTACTTATTATTTTCAGATGTGCTTTTCTTCGACAATGACCCACCGAGGTAAAGAGACTTTGTTGATGTTACTTTATAATAGAAGATTATCGGGTTTTAAATGAGTTATCTTGTGCATAAATACTGTGTTTGGTGACTTTCTTTCCCCATGAAGTGCAGGCAAGACCAGACCATGCTAAAATGAAAAATAACTTTATTTTGAAGGAGCGTTACTGCTAGCACCGATCGTTTTTGTTTGGACTTATTATTAGAAGCTTTATTTTCAACATGTTACGTAAATTATAGATTCTGATTACTGACCTAACTAGTATGAAACACCCAAAAACAACACATCAAATGGTAATGTTATTGAGCTGCACTAAATTGCCATTTTTATCCTATTAAAATTAACTTAATCAGTTGTATTTTTTTTCAACAAATGAATTTGTTAACCAGATTTTTTAAGTATGGCAACTAGAGTTTGGGTGAAAATTAAACAAAAAAAAAATAAGCAAGAAGTTACACACCAAAACGCAAACACACCATCAAAGTCACTAACTAGAAAAAAAGTAAATTTCTAAGCTAAAAATGAAAATGATATTTATGATGATAATGAAATATACAATATTTGTATATTTAGGACAGACGATGATAAAAGAAAACGTTTCCAAGAAGTGACGACTGGTTGCCTAAACTTCCTGCCAAGTATGTAACAACGTTACAACTACTTAAGTTTTAAATAAGTCTTCTTATGTTAAATGATATCTGAATTGACGGTGAGAGACAAACGACCAATAGGCTCAAATGTCAAAGTTCAATGATTACGGAGAAACTTTCGCATTGCCTTGCCTTCCCCCAGGGTTGAGATAGCGTTCTCTAGATTACCCGAGACAACTAAATTACAAACTTCAAAATAGAATTGTCTTATTGATTTTATGTAAAATGAGTTATTATAACAGATGAAGAAAACTTTCATAGCATCGTTAACGTATCATAATCATGCAATCTTATTATTTTTGTAACATGGACATTGTAAGTGTGGAATTGTTCATGTTTTTATCTTTCTTATTTCAAGAAAAGGATTTCGTACTAACCCTTGCATTAGTGTTTGTATTTAGGTAGTTTAGGAAGTAATCTGTTCGTAATTTTTTGTGCTCTTGTTGCAAACTTTCATATTTATATTTTTATTACAGAACCAGCGGTATGGGTGATAGGTGAGACTCCACATAGAGAGGGAACTTTAATGATTCTACATGCTTTACAACAACCTAAACTTAACAAACAGGTACATACAGGGCAAACACTTGCCTGTACAATATTTGATATTCGTAACTGTGTAATTACATTTAAAGTTGTTATCTGCATTTGGGATTAAAAAGCTTACGAATTAGATTAATATCAATTAAGATTTGTTCATTGATTGTCTGTAATTCATTTAAATAATACATGAGCATATAATATCATATATTTAACTGGACATCTATTAGCTTAAACTTAAGTTTAGTTTATTCTGCAACTTTCTAAAATTATGACAAATGAAGACATATTTGCATGTTATATCATGCATTAAAAAGATCATTACTTTAACTATTGTATAAAAATTGTTTGTTTAAGAATACATGAGTGTATTGTTACATTTTATTATTTCAGCTCAGTTACGTGTTCCTAGATATATTCATCACAGAATTGTTTCCAGAGTTAAAGCAGTGATCAACTTGAGTGAATACATGAAATCATCAGCAAGAAATCGTTATATATAGAGCAATAATGTTTTGCTTAACTCAATATTTATATTGTTCTGTTTGTGAGATCTAATTTTAAGGTTACAGTCAAAATTTGAAAGTGGGAACGGGCAATGATTCATAATGTACATATCATTCCTATTTACCCGTATGTGCTTAAATCCATAGTCTGCTGAAACCTAAAATGATAAACATTTGCCACCAATATAAGGCTAGACCAACCTTCTCATTTTTGAAGACTAACTAGCATCTATATTAATATCATACTAACTTTCAATATTCACTTTTGTATCTCAAAATTGAGAATGGACAGTTGTCAAAGTGTAATGTAAGAAATTTAGCAGGTTAAAGGTTAACTAGCCTCCGAGTCTGAGTGGTGAATGGCTACCTAACATCGATCCTCTACTCATTGAGGGCAATTTCCTTGCTAAAACTGTTTAAACCAGTATTATATCAGAGGTTTATCACAATTTTGTTATAACTTGTATATGTTATGTCAAATGACTAAATTAATGTTGTCATTTATATGTAGTGGATGTTTGTCTGTTTGGGTACATTGTAGATCCACTGTAATGATCAACTGAGTTGTTTGAAGGAATAGAAAGAAGTGTCTGTTTTGTTCAGTAAACAAATTACTAGCAGCTTAAATATTGTTTGTGTCATTGAGTGATTTTTTTATTTAATTCATGTAATACTACTTAGATATAGTAATAATGACGTGCAATATATCTTTACAGGCCTACTGTGATAAATTATGTATTGAAATGAAATATTGTAATTTGATTGACTTGGATTCCTATCTTAGACACAATAAGAGAAAAATTACATTAGTTTAGAAATGGTATTGTCACTGATCTGCTATTTATCGCTCTTGACCACAGTGGTTTTGAATACTGATATATTTTTACAAGTGCATAGCGTCGAAAGGTTGTAAAATGCCATAGGTTTTGTTTAAGGGTAACGAATACCTAAAAGTTAAATTACTATATCGCTAGTACAGTTAGTTACACTTTAAAGACATAATTATGTAAACCACTTCAAAAGAATTTTTAAGGTGTTTGATTGTTTTCCTCTTACATTAAAATCTTTATTCCACTATAACGTATTCATGAAGATTTCATTTTTAATGGTTACATATAGAACAGAAATTGAAAAAAAATATTGATATTTTTTTTATCAAAGGACTATTTGTGTAAACTTTTACGATTATTTTAAAAGAACTTAACATTATTCCAAAACATAAACAATATCTCTGAACAAGAGATTTTTCACAATATTATTTGTTACCCTTCATATATGAATTGATGATTAACTGTTCATTTTAGCTCGACTTGGGAGACCTATTGTTTTCGCTCCGCCATCAGCAACGTGCTTAATTAAAGATTTTGTGTGCTAGTTTGTAACTTGTGCAAGTTTGTTACTCGAAAAATACACAAGAGAATTGGCTGAAAATTTAGACACTTACTTGGGAGCTTATTATGTGGTCACTATCTATACAAAACCCATAGCTATAACATTGACTTTGACAGAATTATTGTCCTTTTGAAAAATTCACATTATCCAGACTCTTGCTTTATCGCCAGGCACTGAGAATAGTAGAACACTCGGTCATCAGACAACTCTTGTTACTTTAAATTATCTTGAAATTTTATAAGCTAAAACTTCTTGCTATTATGATTGCTGCGGCGTCATTGTAATCTGTGTAATTGTCTTTATCACCGTGTCTAATGTTGCCCATTATTCAAACATCTCAACATAAAACTTGGAATACTTGCTCATCATGATAAGGTACAGTCGTTAGACAAGGAGAAGAGTCTAAAAGCTATATATTTGTCTCTTTTGAACTTTCAATTTTTGGAAATTTCTTCTTCATGTCAATGAATTTATAATTGTGAAATTTATTAATATGTTCATAATAACAAGGTTTATTTGCCAGCCAAGGGTATCATTCGTAAAGCTATTTTTTGTTTAGATAATGTCCCTTCTTAGCATAGAAGTTGTGTCAAATTGCTTATTATGCTAAATGTTCCAAAACTTAAAATCTGCTCCCTCATTTTTACAATGTACAATTGTAAAACTAGGTTCATTATCGTAAAATCAATATTTTAGTAAGTCTAGAGGTATTTATCATTAAGGCACTATTTTTATGAATCATGTCCATTTTTAACTAAAATATGAATAAAATTGGATTTTGAAAATTATTGCGATTCTTGTTACAAGAATGCGATTGATATTTATAAAAACAATTTGAAAGTATTTGTGTATTAAGTTTAATGTTCACTGTGTTATTTATGAAAAGAAAACTCAAATAAATGTGCAATATTTATGTCTTGTTGTTTTTAATTAGAAATGACACTGAAACCATGGTTTCCAAGATGGTTTTATTTTTTCTTCAACGCATATCCATCTGACCTGTTGGAATATCCTACTTGATTTAGAAAATACAATGTAGTTTGATTTAAATATGTTTGAAAATGATGAGTGCAACATTCAGGTCTCCAGTTCAAATGTCAAAGTCAAACCTGTATGTCAAAATCACAATATGATCTTAACCAAAAAGTACATCAATATGTATGTCCTGTCAATTACTCTGTAATTTTTGGATTTGTTAAAAAAATAATTTTGCATGTGTGTTGGACATGATAGCATCGTGTCACATGAAAGAATCAAATATTTAGTCAATGTCACGTTTGTATGTCCCAAATCAAAAAATTGATTTGTATAGTTTGGTTTGTCTGTTAAATTATTTCGTTATTTATGAATGGTTTTGAAAAAATAAGCACATTTCGCTGATGTGTCACACAAACAAGGTTAAGGCTTGTTGCTGCAAAGCTTGAATTAAACGGAAAATTTTCATTAAAATGAGATTTTGTTCTAGTTTAGTAGAAAATCGAATCATTTATGGATGCATTATAGGATAACTTTGCATACAAATTGCTGTTTTAGATGACAAGTCACATGCAAAAAGTCATGTATCCAGCTCAAAGGTCAAGGTCATATTTATACATCACAAATCATTATTGTAAAAGAATGGTCGTGTTTTGTGCACAACGTCCTTATTCATTGATTGATTTTGAAAATATCATCTATAAATATGCTGATTATTAAGATGACACGTTATCTCAGTGACGGTTATGTCCAGTCATCAATTCTGTCATTCATTGATGGATTTTGAAATATTAAGGCATAGCATTGAGGTACATCAAGAAGATTTACCATGGGCAAATCTAAGACCAACATCAAGAAAGGTAAAGGTTATACTGGGATGTCAAATATAGTACATTGATGGTTGTACCTTGTCACATCTTTGTCATTCATTTATGGATGCTTTTTGAAATAGTTTTGCATACCGAGTTTGTTAATGATTATTTCTTATAAAAGTTCCCGTACCTTGGATTTAAATCAAAGCTCAGTTTGAATAGTGCCTGCTTAATGAAAGTGGTTAAAATTGAATCAAGCCCAACACTCAGTGATGCTCAAGTAATACAGAAACGGCCAAATAAAAAACACACATCAGGTGCTTGTATGGTTAACTTTACATGGCACTTTATAACCAGGTTCAACTAAATTCTAGTTTCAATCAATATTTGCAAAACCAGTGATTAGGAAGGTGGTGTTTGGATGCTACCTGGACTGAAAATTAACTGAGAATAACACAACACTTGATTACGTTGACACAGTGAGATTTATTTGCATGCATATTACAAACTTAATACAAATATTTATTTACTGTATATTATATTCACACATAGATTTATATTTATGTATGTAATATAAGTTAAGTGTTAAGTATACTATTATGATTTTAAACTAATAAACAAAAGTGTTTGTGATTGTTTACATAGTTATCAAAACCCAAGAGATAGAAGACTTAACTATTTATAATAGTATCAAATCTATCAAGTCAACGCACTGAGGCTTTGCAGTAATCTGACATTAAGGTCAGCTCTAAAAACAAGAAATAAAGAAAATCAACCGGCTTTTTTACACAATTGGTCTTAGAAATAGAAATAAGAACTAAAAGATTTTTGGTCAAACATGTAAATAACAAGTTCAAAACTAATCCAATAATTTCAATCAAGGCTATTACCGAAAGCACCAAGCACCCGGTAATTATTTCTAAACAATCTAAACGTTAGAATTTAATAATCTCTATGCAGCTCAAAATTATAGCTTTTTTGAATTTCTGGATAAATTAAGTAAACATACAATACAGACTTTGTGACCAATCATATGGAGATTTAAAAAAAGATATTGGTAATATTTGGACATTGTTTGGTTTCTCATTATTTACTGTTCAACTTGCAAAATAATCAATCAGTTGAAAGTGCTGTTGGCATGATGTATTGGGTTATATAACTTTCTGTGATCAATGTAATTATTGGTCATATAAATCTCAATCTGGTTATATTCTCCAATCTGCTCGCACCTAAGATCATATAAATTTCTATTCATAGATCGGAACTGTGACATTTAATTTGAATAACAATATATATAACCACAAACATAGACATATGCTTCTTTGTTTACAAGTATTTTGTGGTAAAATTCTTAATTTATCCACTTATCTGATAATTAGAATTCAAGAGGTCAGGGAATATGCATAAATAGCACTTCCAGACATACAAATTTCATTCTGGTTATATTCTCTAATCAGCTATCACCTTCAAACCTATATATCTTAATTTGGTTATACATTGTTTACTATCAGCTAGCACCTCTCCAGTTATATAGATCACATACTGGTAATATCATCTCATCATATAGTACTTCCAGCCATATAAATCTCATTTTGCTTATAATCTCCCATCCGCTAGCCCCTTCAGTCATATTAATCTCATTGTGGTTATATTCTCCCCTCATCTAGTTTTTACTCCAGTCATATTATTTTCATTGTCATTTTTCCATCAGCTAGCACCTGGATCTAATTCTGGTTATATTCCTCTGTATCCATCAACAACAAATATAATGCACTGAAAAATAAGCCAATTAGGTATATATTTTATAAGTAAAGCATAACATTAGAATAATACCTTTCATTATCATGTGTTTTTCTTGTCAATTTTCCATGCAAAACAGTAAACTGGAGAGAAGCCGGCATATATGAATTTTTGCCACATTATTTCTTGCTCTTTCTTGCAGAGAAAGCAGGTAACATTGTATTGCCTGTTTATGTCTGTTTTCTTGTACCAAGCATTGCCCTAGAACATTAAGAGCTGTGTCTTTATGTCTAAGGTTTTTATCTGTTTGTATGATGTTTGCAAGTTTAAAAAGAGCTTGTTGTTGATCATGATACCGTTGAAGATGCCTGTAAACTTTATATTGTAGGAAGTACAGGAAAGGTAGAGAATCAACTACAGCCCAGTTCATCCAAAAGTCCTCATCTTGATCTTTGTGTTTCATGTCATCTTTTGTAGATCTGAACATTTCATATTGAAGTTCATAAGGGATACAGTTGATCTCTTGTTTTAAGAATATGACACACAATGCGGTAATATTTTTTACGCAGTCCTCATTTTTTTTCATTACATTCTCTTCTTAATTCTCTTGTTAGTTCTTGTGGAGGCATCGGATACCAGCAGCTACAGATGGGGACAACAGGGTAAGAGTAATACTGACGTTCAGAGTAATACTGACGTTCAGTGTGTCTCAGTATTATTTTAGCTTTTTCCAGATCTCCTGCACTGTAGAACACTGAAGACAATTTCAGTCTGCCAGATAAGATGTCTGAATCTAAACCTTCTAGTAGCCAGACAAATGCTTGAGGTGATACTTGATGTTTTAAACCTATACTTGCTGAAGCCAGTGCAGATCCATATGTGGTACACAGTAAAGGTGCAAGGAACGTAAATGCAGCATGTTCTAATTCATTATTATTGTTATTGTAGGTCATTAGTCTTTCCAGATAATGCTTCATTCTTCTAATATTTTTATTATGTATTTTTTAATTGAATACGGTAGTTTTTACTTCTACTTCTTGAAAATGTTAAGTAAGAACAAGCAGAAGAACGTCCACATATATCCTGTAAAAAATATGAATTGTATTGTTTTGGTACCAAGTTCAGTTTAACTTGAAGTCTCTGTCCAAGATTATCAATATCAATTCTAAGTAAACTTTGTACATCATTCTGTATAAAATCACTTATATTCTTTAAAAGTTGATGTTTTGTCTCAGCTGTAAATTGCCCTGCAATCAAATTGTTCTCAGGTATAATGAAATGTGACAGGATGTCATTTTGTACACAACTGTATAATTTCATCAAGCAGTATTTTAAACATTCTAATAAATTGTTCTCTTCCCATAATCTTGGTTCTTTGTTTTCTATACAATGTAATAAAACTGTTTTGCACATGAAACTTGAGATATTTATTTCCCCTTGAGGATTTAAAAAAGATTTTAGAATCATCTTCAGTAAAACATAGCACTTTACTTGTACTATATTTAAATCAAACATTAGACACCTTTCTGCCAGGGATGTAGATAATCTCCACTCCAATTCAGGGTATTCACTGGTCTTACTTCCAGTTGGAACAACATAACACCTTGTTCTGACTGTATTTCTTTTTATCTTTTGTGTGGGCCACTTGCCAATACCTCGTCTCTCTAACCAACTTGATGATGCTGACGTTGGCCATGATTTACAGGGATCAGCATACACATACTCTGAATAATTAAGTCCTTGTGGCCCCTGTGTAGCAATTGATGGTCCATGTCGTGTACCATGTTTAAGAATATCAAAATTATATATTGTGTTCCTATGTAATATTCTTCCTCTTCTATCAGTTATATGGCGGTCATCAGGAATGGCCGTTGCAGGAAGTCGTTTATAATGTTTGAGAAGTTGCAGGAAACAATGCCCAGGGGTTGTATTCTCATCCTGTATCATGAAGTAGTTTCTTTTGCCATGTTCCCACTCTGACCAATCCTGTATTACATTGTAATCATGTAAACAAACTAGCTGGTCAGTGTCTGACTCTAGTCCTGAAGTAGTTGTTCCTTCACTTCGACTCCCTAGAATATATGAAATTACATTATCACCAATTGATTTGTTTGTTATAGTATTCATAGTCTCCATCAGCTTGGAAACTCTTCCTGCTCTCATCCTCATTCTTTCATTGATTCCAATATTATCTAAAACCTCTGATAATATCAGTGATATATGTTTTCTGCTGTCAGCCGATTGAAACATTCTGAAATGTAAATCAGGGGTTAATTGCATAAGTGAGTAACAAAGAGTCATTAAATTTTCTAAAATACTTCTACTTATAACTTTTTATCCTTTATTCATTGGTACAGTTCAGGATATC